TTAATGATAACAATATATGCTTTCAACTACTTATCACACACTTATTTACTTAACACACACACACACAACACCCTGTACATAAATGCGATGCTTCTGATTATTTAATGAATGAGCACAAATCCGTATAGTGCACATGTACGTGTACACGGCCGACCGTGATCGTTATTGAATTACATTGAAAACATTGTTGTAGTTACCGATGCCAAACATTTGCTTTCGGTCGACACATGGATTGTATAAGAGGGTTTTTTTATGAACATTGAACGTGAAACAGAGATCTTGGCCGAATGCCTCGTATCATAATTAATTAAATACTCGACCGAAAAACACATTTAACGGTGAGTGATAAACAAACATCTCGCGTTAATAACTTTCAGGAAACCGTTTATACCCTCGAGTAAACTATAGTTTTTTTATGGCGGATAAAGTACACTCGACGCCAACAATAATGATAACATTCCGCGAACAAGATTTAAATTATGTGATGGGTTCATAGGTGGAACTTGGATAAGAATCATGAGGGGACAGTTGCCCCCAAAAAAAGAGTTAACGAAAAAACTTGTTATTTCAATCTTTTATTAATGAAGGCCGAAAAGTTGAATTCAATTTAAAATAATTAATAATATTCCTTCTGTAATTTTGATTTCTAATATAAAACAAGAAAATATTTTTTGGAATTCCAAATTCAATTTGAAGCTTATTAAGAAAAATATTAGAATGTTACTCATGTTTTTGAGAATCCGGTTAAGAAAGTCAATTAATTGTTTGTCCTTCTAGAATCATCCCCAAGTGCCGCTTATGGATGGGTTCCCCTGCTTTCCGAGACAAAGAAACCGAAATGAAAGTGTAAAACATTGAGGTGTGCGTATATCACGGATACACATGTACCTCGTTGTATTGTACATATTTATTTTAGGCTATAACAACTATAACATTGTAATATAATATTATAATATACACGGGTACCTCCAGATACAGTCCTAATCGCGGTATAATATTATTTTGTACTCAATTAAATAACATAGCAACATTATGAAAATATTTTTCATCTTGTCAGGGACACGTCTTTACTGCGGGGCAATTGTTCGTTGTTATGGTAAATATCTCCTGATTTAAATGAATTAGACCTTACGTTTGATAAATGCAAAACAATTTATACGGAGATGGAATGTATTTATTTATAAATGTTTCATATTTCATGTGGATGTGTAATATTTGATGTAGTTTTTAATATCTGTTTATAAAATGAGTGTAAATTAATACATTTCATTTATAGCACGATTATAACTTCAAACTTACTCAGTTACAGCCAATAAATGCTAGTGTATACGCAAAGTAATGCCATAATATTTAATAAAATGATAAAATCAGAATTTGAAAAATATCATTGACGGAAAACACGTTAAGGAAATAAAACTAATTTAGAAATATAAATTAATATTTTATAAAATATTAAAAAATTATGTAAGACGATGGAATTGTTTTAACAAAAATTTTAAATCGCATTTGAAAACAAATGAAAGTAGAGATACTGTTTATAGAGAGTTAATTAGAAATAACCACGAAAAAGACGAACAAAACATTATAGTTAGATAAGTTATTCGTTAAAAATAAAAGCATAGTATGAGATTTGTGAACGGTCACATAAATTAAAACATCATGAACTTAAGGACATACATTAAATAAAACCAATATGAATTGCTTTCGGAAAATTATATACTTGGCAAGACGATCAAAACTACCAGCAAGGCCACGTAGTATTCAAAATATGCACAAAGTAATGGATTCATTAGATATTAAAACTTATGACTAACTATTTCTCATGCTAAATGATAGTAATCTAAATATAGTAATGTTTTCATGTGAAAAAAATTTGAATACTTTAAGTACACTTAAGATTAAATATGTAAATGATACTTTTAAGTAGTGTACTAAATTATTTTTACTTAACAATAAAGTGAATCATATGCAAGATGTTTTTATATATTAAAAACTGAATGTTTCAAATTTATGTTGTTCTCCCGAATCTATATTTGCCGATTTCGAATTATCTATTCATCATGATGCATTAAAAATTTGGCCAACTATAATTATTAAAGGATGTCGCTTCCATTTATGGCAAGCATGGTCGCGTCATATTCAAAATTTGGGATTAAGTAAGGATTATCTTAACCAAACGGAGATAGGCTTATTTTTGAAAACTAAATGTTTTCAAAAAAAGTTTTTAAAAACTAAACTATATGTTTGGATTACCTTTATTGAACAAAGAAGATCTAGAGAAGTGTTTTGTTGAAGATTTTATGTCGTATATTGCCGGAAGATTAAAACTCACTGAATTTATGGATTATTTAATAGAAAATTATACAGATTATGGAGCAAAATTTCCTATTTCTATGTGAGCCGAAATGAGTAGCAGTTCTTAAAGGACAACCAATGCTTGTGAAAGTATTTATCATAAGTACAATTCGTTATTTTATACACATCATCCAGATATATATATACATTTTTGGAAAAATTAAAAATAAAATTCAAATCGATATCAAAATAGAAATCCAAACGGCCGTACAAACAACGAGAAAACCAAAACTACAATCAACAACATTTTATTCATCGAAGACAACATACATCAATTTCAAAATATTAAAATATCAAGACTATATTTTGTCAAGATAATGGCATTTAAACACCAGCCTATATAGATATACAAAAAAATAAATAACATTTTTTTCAAATAAATTAAATCCATTTAAAATAATTAATAATTTCACCCAAATTCAAAGGTTCAAACTAAAATAAAATATACTATTATGAATAAGAATCACAAAATAACCTCCACGTGGTGCACCCTAAGTAACTCTAAATGAACTGGGACGTACTAAGGCTATGTCAAAAATATGACCTTTTTTTGGGGGGGGGGGGGGGCGCACTCGGATGATACCTTATTTTGGACGCACTGAGGAAACTCCCAATCTAGTAAACCGTCAAAAAGTAATTATTAGTCATTTGTTGTGTATAATTTTACATTGTGTGAAAGTCTATATTTCAAATATATCGGTTCATTGTATACTGCGATTAGCGTTATAAAATATGTTTGAATTTATTGTGAAGTCTACTCGAAATTAAACTTTTCATATTTTCATTTTTTTGCATTGTGTTTAACAATATTTTTTGCTATACCAATTTTTGAATTAAATATTTATCTTTCTATACTTTCGAGTTTTGATGGATGAAGTCGAAAATGTGGAAAAGTTGATTTTGAGTAAACTTCATGACTAATTTCACTTGAAATCCTTATCGCAAAATTTTAAAAATCAATATTATCGCGTTGGAAACATAATGATAATGGTACGTTTAAATTACTGTCATGTGCTCATGAAAGGTATACAACGAACTGAAGCTTTAAATCATCTTCTTTATGTAACTTATTTAACTTTTAAATTATAAAGTTATCTTAGTTATAAGTTAAACGTATTAATTTATTTTTATTTTAAATAGGTTTTGTACGACATGCTTATAGAATTACAAAAAAAAAAACTGCATGTACATTAAACGGATCGTTAAAAATTAATTTGCTAATGATGGATCACTAATTGGTGTTTAAGGGTTGGTGAAATATTTAAAATTCCTTGGAATTAGAGTTTGTGCAATGCACTGCATAATGATGTATTTTCCTCGTGATACTACACGTTATATTGTGTACTAACAATTTATTTGAAAACAACCCTTTGTTTATAGTCATTATTACAATTTCCGTCTATGATTATTTTGTTTTAATAAAATAGTATGATTAATAAATATTGATAAATTTATATAAGAAACTTAACGTTTAAATGAAAACATATGTTCGTTTTTTTAAATGACCATAATATTTGATATGGATGCAGTACAAATGACTAAAAACAAATGAATCAACATCACTTTGTTAAATGTTATTAAATTACGAAATATTTAATCTTAACTGTTTTTTTTTTAAAACAATTATAGATTATTAACCTTTGGAATAGTTATATATATGTATATTAAACTCTTACTCAAAGTACAAAATGATAGAAGTTCATAAAATTGGTTGGGCAAAATAACAATAAATCATATAAACGTGTAATTATTTAAACTGCTATTTCTTATTATAATATTGTGTTGCGTTAGAATTTGTTTATATTTGTAAAATTTATATTATTGTATTATGAAGCAAAAACTGAATAATCGTTTAAATTTGTTGGATCCAGCAGAATTTGCTTACACAACTCGTTTCACATCACCAAATTAAATAAGACCCGATTAAAAACCTACTGTACCAAAACCTAAATGGAAGGGAAATGTGAGTCGATTTTCTACATATAAAGAAATAAATAATTCATTAATATAACGTAATGCGCGTTTTTTTGTAATTTTTTCTTTTCATAGTGCGATATGAGGTGATTAGGAATGAGCTTGAGGTGCATACTACAGATACATTATTTGTAATCTATGTTTTAGTTTTAAATAAACTGATATTATTTTTATTCGTTAATGCTACTGAAGAGTTTTTTATAACCGTAATAAAATATCATCTGTATTAAACAATAAACTTAATAAATTATTGTTATTATTTGGTCGTTTTTATGAAGATACATGAATAACTCACTTCCAAACACCAATGTAATTAATATATAATAAATATTAAAATTAATAAACAAATAAATTAGAATTAAAATTAAAAATTAAGCGAAAGCATTTTGGGTTACACAATTTTTGTTCGCAGTGCATATACCGATTCATTTTAATATGTGGTACATATTTTAGTTATTATAGTATATTGTATACAAAAAAGATCTTGATTGTTAAGGTCCGACCATCTGAACGGGAAGCGATACGACCCCATTTATCCACATAATAACGTTAACGACACGATTGAGTGGGGGGTAGGAGGTAGTTTGTGTCTGTAACGTTACGTCTTTGTATTTTCACCGAAAAATGACTTATAACGTTTTTAATTCGTACCGAAAATGACATGTTTCTAGACGCGATGCAGCCGACGGCCGTGATGTTGAACAACCATCATCACGGAGGTCATCCGCAACATCAACTATCGACCGTCGGAGGAGGTGGTCACAAAAACAACAACAATAATAACATCAACAATACCAACAACAACCATACGACGACCACGTCGACGACCGGGACGACGAACGCAGCGGTGCCGACCCCCGTACGGAAAAAGTCTCGGAAGGACGTGCCGCTGTCGTCGTCGCCGGGTCTGTTGGTCAGCTCGTCTTCCGGTTCGCCGGCCGGACAGCAGGCCGGCGAGAGCGACGGCGGTCACTCTTCCGACGGCTGCGGAGACCGGAAGCGGAAGAAAGCGCGGACCACATTCACGGGTCGGCAGATATTCGAGTTGGAGAAACAGTTCGAGCTGAAAAAGTATCTGTCGTCGTCCGAACGGTCAGAGATGGCTAAGCTTTTGAGCGTCACCGAAACACAGGTGAGAAACTTATAAAATGCACCGTTTACCTACCCTATAAATATTCGCCACTCGACGCAATAACAGCAGGTTTGGATTCTTGTTTGATTTTTTTTTACGTACGGTACGATGTAATTTCTTTCCGCAGTCATCACTTATTTTATTCAGTCGCGTTCGCACGGTTTTCCGAAGTCTACGAATACAATCGTGGATTCGCTTCGTAATGTTGGTTTAAATCTTCCACAAATGTCGTCGACGTGTTATCGTTTATTCGTTTCAACAGAATCGTTACATTAATTATAGATGTACCTTGGATTTCTTTACGATTGAATACTATCCGCGTAGCGCTTCGTTTTCCATTACCGCTTTGTAGAAACCTAAGGACATCGGTTAACATTTTTTTTTTTTTTTTTTAATACGTTTTATGACTGTTGTTTAACAAAGCGTATCGATCAGTAGTAGTCGGTTATTTCGTTCAAGGTGATTACTGCAGCAACTAATCACGCCGAGAACCATTACGATATAGTTTACTTATTAATGATGACCAAATCGCAGATTTAAATCGTATTTGATAATTGATTAAAAAAACAACGTTAGGCGACGCGGCGACGGTTTAAAAAGTGTTTTAAATTAAAATTCGATCGGGGCAAACTAGCTCTAACTGCCGTTTCCCCTGATCCGGCCACTGTCGTGTAAAGTGTGATAAACGATGGTCGTCGGCTGCCGTGAAATCATTATCTCGTCGTGCCCGTCTACGTACATCGGTGCGCTCGTCGCCGCGGTTACGGGTCACGACGCTCGCCCATAAATCTTCATTACCACCTCCGCCGCCACTCCTGTTGTTATTATTATTGCCGTCGTCGTTATTCTCGTCGGCCGTGTCGTTTGTAGGCGTAATCGACAAACGTTTTGTTTTCCAAACGATAAATAAATAAATAATTGTAATGAACGTGGCGCATCTCATACAACCAGTGTATAATAGTGCATCGTAATTCAGTAGCACCGTGCGGCGCAGTATCGTCCGCGCTCGACTCGAATACAATGTACAGACGATGTGTTATATTATACGGTTTATTACGGGGGCGTCCTCAGGGGGGGGTGAAGGTAAATGGGGTAGTCGTCCCCTCTCTCCGTAGCTATTTTTTTCTTCGAACGTTTGTTATTTATTATTTATACCACACTAGGGATACACATAAACGTGAATATATATACGAAGCTCGTCGCTTCCCTATGATAAAGTGCAGGGACGCCACTAGTTTGTTACAGGTTTTATGGCAGCTCTCGGTTTCCGCATGGTTTAGATTTCGCAACGAATCATCGTTCTCTTAAATGCTGCACTAATGCGCTTAACGAAATCACTGAATGACCGCGTTTAGGTTCTTTTTACGCGTGCTAAGCGTCGGTAACGTTATTCTTTGTTTATTATTGTAATACTGTCCAATAAAAAAAGAGAATACTAAAATAAATTGAACGTTAAAAAATGACTAATTGCTTGGGACGATGCCAATCAAATTTTCTTCTTTTCGCACTCTCGCGGCTCGCACATACACACACATAAATATATAAGTATATTATAATAACCTTATGTAATAACACGCACGAGGTTTTTTACCAAGTACAAACAATTTGATTATTAAACCAAAATACACTAGTGTGATCGTGAGCATGTTTCACTTCGTTTCATTGCTGTAATCATATTGTTCTTCGTAAGAAAAATCATATTTTTCGGAGCAACAGAGGGAAAGATAAAAAGGAAATAACAACTACGTTACGAAGTATTCGTACGAAAGAGATTTAACGATTTTAGTTAAATAAATTAATTTTAATTGAAAAAAGAACGATATTTTATATGACCACAAGTGCTGTACACGGCGGTCTTTGGCAAAACGTTATTCATCGCCATAATGTGTCAGAAAATAATACTTGAAGTGCGCATTGTCCTCTGTCAAACCCTAACGTTCAATATTATATTGATCTGTCCGCGTGTGTTGTTCGGTATTGTTGTTTGTCGATGCAGTGTGACCCAGAATCATTAATGCGTGTCTTATATATGATGTTGAAATATACAAACTTTTATAAAGCGTCTGTGAAGAGGAAATGGGTGTTCTTGCTTCAGGACGAAAAAAATAAAAACAAATAGTAAACAAATAAAGTTTTCTGTTCTTATACGAGTTGTTCAGACTACATCGGCTAGAACATCACGTGTAACGTAACAATAGAGCTATGTCGAGAGTGTAATGTACCAATTAAAAATTCTTTTTTAGCAATATACACGCGCGTTTATAGTCAAGAGGAAGTCTCGGTGAAAAAGAAAGAAAAAACGTAAGCATGTTATTTTTGGACCTTATCGACTTAAGGCTTTTCCGACAAATTCTCATTACAACGCAGTCGATTGTGAACGTAACTGACGACGAGAAATACGTCAGCTGAACGTGTATGTATACGCCGCATGAGTGTTTTTGTTCGCGTCCAATCTTCGAAACGCACAAACAAGGCAAAGAATAAAAAAATATTATTACGACCGTATAATATTAATCCGTGCGTTGTAAATGCGCGAGCGGTTTGGGGCCGAAAGACAAACAAATGAATAATTTAGACCGATTTGACGATCGATTTTCAGCGTATATTGTGTGCGTGTGCGCGCGCGGTATATTTCGATTATTCGATTAAACGTACACACCGCCGTGGACGGCTCTTCACGACTTATCTGTACACCACGAACGTATGTGAAACGTTCTATTATTGTGATTTATGTCACAACCGGCGACGATGATTTAAAACGAGGTCAGTCCAACGATTTGCGGTTATAAACGTTATCGCGATTTTAATATTATTACAATACGAGGACGCGCGCGCATAACGTTTTCATGTGCGCACGAGTCACGTATTTCGACGTTTTTTTTTCTTTTTCGTTAAGCCAGAATGGTCGTCAAAACTCCACCGTCGTGAACTCCGTCGCCCGTTCAAGAGAATCGTACATACCGTATTGGGTACTGCTGCAATCCTGTTCGTCTCTCATTTGTCTATTTCGGGCGACGGATCGTCTTGGTCGTGCTATCCTGTTAAATCGGTTTCGGATATCACGTCTTCGGCACAATATTTTTATACGTCTCTCCCCCCTCCACGTATACACACAAAACGCATACACATATACGTGCACTCACGCACACGAAAAACGTTTATAGCGCGTGCAAGAGCGCACGTAATATATATCTTGTGCGCACCACTTTGAAATATTTTCTCGTCTTGTGAAAAATATGCATCACATATGTACATGTGAACACATACGTGCGCACACATCGACCGATGCATCTCTCCGAGTACGTCTCCGACGTGTTACATTACTGTTCACACACACGCACGCACACACGAACGTATTATACGATTGCCACTCTCGGGCCAAAGCAAACACGAAGATTTTCAACGGATTTATCTTTAGATCACCGTCGTTTATGTACGTGCACGTATCTGGTGTACACCTATACGTTTTTGTGGCAGGAACGTTTTGTATGTATGTGTGCACACGCGCGCGCGCGTATGTGTGCAATGAACATTTCGGCAGCTATACACCCTGACAGTTTTTATTTGGAGTAATAGCATCGACGACGACGCGTTGACGAACTTCTATGCGCTGTTTTATTATTACACGTATAATGTTTCGTGCATGGTTGAAATTTAACACATATATATATATATATATATATATATATATGTGTGTGTGTGTGTGTGTGTGTAAATATGTATAAAAAACAGTGACCATGTGTTATAAATAATTATTCCACAACGATAATTTTAAGGACGTAGGATTAGGCATATGATCATTTAATTTTTTTTTTTAATTTTACAACAGAATTTTCTATAGTTAAAACTCCCGGTCGATCGACAACAATGACTATGAAGCGGATAGACAGTATTTTCTCGATCGATCGAATTTCGCTGTAAAAATCATACATTTAACGCAGCATGATAATAAAAATAATGTATATTTATAGTATTTCATGAAGGTTTTATTTATCATATGCAATTGTAGTTATACGTTTAACCGTTTTTATGTTACACTCAGTATGTAACACACGTATTGGTATATTACACGACGTTTTATTCACGATGTTTTACATATTAGTTAAATCATGCTTGTTTATGTATGTATATATGTTTAGTCGTAGAAACGAAATTCGAATTTAAATCGATTTTAAAATAATATACCTGAAAACTGGCAAGCTATTCATATTCGGTTATATACTTAACGTCGCGCGTTCGTCCATTGAAATAATTCATATTCATCGAATGTTTAAATAACAATGATGTTGGTCTCGAATCAGCTTGTGTCCGGATGACCTAAATTTGCGTGTACAACTAAAAGTTAAATTTTTATTTCCATATTGTTATATCGTAGAAATGTGTTGAGTAAATCGTTTTATTTGGTACAATTTATTAATATTAGATGAACAGTTAATGAATATGTTTTAAGCAAAATAAAAATAAAAAAACAATAAACAATAAACACGGGAAAAAAAATAAAAATTTATAAATGGTATATTACATTGTATCCGTTATATTTAAGTTTTATTATAGTGGATTTGTTTTATAACTAGCTTTGTTATAGATAATTATTTCGGTGTTATCTAAAGCAAATATAATTCGTAGGCGTTCTATAAAAATTCATTATACAATAAACTTCTTTTACATTTCATCCGAGATCAAAACAATTATTTGTAATTAGTTTTATTTGTTCTTTTAATAACTCTTTGGATTTTCGCGTTTAACATTTGATTTGATAAATGAGACGATAAATTACAGTATTGTTTTAAAATACATGTTTTATGATCTTTAAAAGTCAATTTTAATTTTAAAATATTTTAATTGTACGCCTACAGCACTTATTCTGTTTCGCCATTCTCTCAACTATTTGTGATCGGCCACCCTTGTTCTAATCCTCCACTTGTCTCAATTTTCTACATCCTCTACGCATACACCAACCGTCCTCATATTATTCTCAATCGTATCTACAGCACACATAT